ATGGCAATCAATATATTAACAAATAACATAATTTAATAAACACAATAGACATTAAACAGAACAACTGAACTAACTGCACATTTACATGCTCGCACANCCAGAAAATGTGGTAGCACTGGGAATCGAACCCAGACCTTTGGATCAGAGGTGGTCAGTTAGAGATGAAGCCACCTGATAATGCCTATTGCATACTCTAATTGTGCATGTCATCATGACTGACATGCAAAAGCCAGAGGACCCAGAAAAGAACCCTACCCCAGTATCTGCCAAAAGTGCCATGTGGGCTGTCTTGTGATTCAAGCCATGTCCACATAGGGCAGAGTCCTTGAGAATCTAAAGGTGGCTTAGCAGGTAAAGAAATTCCCCACCTTTTATGGAACCCAGAGGTTCATTCCTGTATTCACAACAGCTCAACACTAGTCCCAATCCCAGGTCAAATAAATCTAATCCATACCACCCACTTATTAACAGCATCCTTCCATCTTGCCCTATGTCCTTCAAGTAGCTTCTTGAAGTCCTTTCAACTTTTCTGACTAAAATTTTGTATGCACCTCTCACCGCCACCATCTGCGCAACATACCCCATCAGTTTCATTTTCTTTGACCTGATCACTCTAGTAACACTTAGTGAAATGTACAAACTATGAAATTTCTTACTATGTAATTTACTTCAGCCTCCTGTAACTTCCTATGTGTTTGGGATAAATATACTTGTCAACACTCTATTCTGAAACACCCTCAGTTTATGTTCTCCTCTTATGGAGACGGGCCAAGCTTCATGCCCATACAGAAGAAGTCTACCTAATCATCCCCCCCTCCTCCATAACACACACAAAAGAGGGGATTTAGGAGAAGATTCTAGTTCCTAAGAAGCACTAAGTAGCACTCAGACAGAGCATAAGGACCAGTAGATAAAATACTGTAGCATGTAGAGCCATCACTAGGCAATGACCATGAGATTAGTAAATATACAACAGCCATTACTGGGCAATACCTTCACAAACAAACATGTTCCAACAGAAATGATTTGAGCATCAAGAGAAGAGCTGTGTTTTCTGTTGGTCCATGTAGAGATGTTATAATCAAGGTACAATTAGTCTGCAAAGTGAAGTCCAAACTCTGTCACTAGTAACATATATGCATGACAATACTGTTCAGTTACCATATCTCTGTCTCTATGAGATACAGTCTGTCAATTCCAATGACAGTGTTTCATCAAAAAAATTATAAAAAATAAATTTATAAACATAAGAAGGAAATAAATAAATTAATACATCACATCACATAACTAGCCACACATGTTACCACAAGGAATTGTATAGTGCCCCACTTCTGCACCACTGCTCGCCGAACCTAAGCATAATTACCTGTCCTTACCCCAGCATGTAAAACTGCAGAAAGAGTAATCAGGGAGTATTTTATGCATAAAATGGAGTTCTGAGAAGATACCAGAGTTCAAGATATTTATTAGTTTCTTGCCTCTGCAGAACGTGTAGTCCCTTGGCATTTCACAGCAAAGTAACCAGTCTCGTGGAACAGGTTCATTACATCGGTAGTTTCCGTTCTAGTGCTGTTCCCATCATCACACCCTAACCTGGGGAGCTCTACACAGCCTGTTACACCTCTGGATACCGCCAGCAGGGCAACAAGCTGGTGTAGCAGCTTCAGCTGCCTCCACAGCTTGTAAGCAGCACTGGATGGCTGCTCAACCACAATAAGCATCTCCTATAAAATCAAATACAACAGCAGATGTAACATAAAATTAACATATTGTGACACAAAGGCTGGAAGCAACAGCCATTGTTAAGCAATGGCAACCAAAACACATGTCAAACTCAACAGTAGAGAGGGACCTGCTGTTCAATCAACAGAAATTAAACAGTGTTTCTCAATTGCCGGGCCGCAGCCCAGTACCGAGCCCTGGCATCAACTATACCGGGCCCTCGTCTTATAGAAAAAAGAATTTACCAGCCTGCAGTCTGACAAAGGTTGAGAACCACTGACACAGAAGACACAGACAGAAGTCTCTCTTCTATTATGGTACAAAATAATATTCCAGGTATGTTTGTAAGCATCCATTTTGCTTCTGCAGTTCAGCTTTATATTGTCCTGACCATGTTCAGAGGAATTCTATTTATGTAAAACTTACATTGCATAAAATTTTGTTCTTTCCAGATTCAAACACAAACTGAGGACATTAATGCATTTGCTCACATGATTGTTTCCTTTTTTTTTTACATAATTTCTTCCTCCACCCCTTAGATTGGTACCATTAGTTATATTTATGTCTACATTTTGTATGGTTACACTAATTAGATGTTACAAGGTTGCTCTTCTCCATTTTTATTTATTCATATTGTAACATGTTTGGAGTAGGTACTTCCATGGTAACGTAATAACAGTGAGCCATTGTGTAGACGTCGAAACGACGAACGAATCTCCCCGGAGATGAACAACCAAATACGCATTGCATAACAGCAGACTGTCGAAATAGTAGCAACGGAACTGTGAGGAATGATGTCTGGTATCCAGCCCGCATAATGCCTATATAAGCAGAGTATTGGAAGAGACAATCTTGGGATAGCCGCCACCAGAGACAGTCGAGATCCAGCCACGGCCAAGGATAGTTGAGATGTCGCAGGAGAGTATTGCGCCAGAAGTCAGGAGATACTGCAAGTGATAATAATTGTAAGGTGTGTAAGAGTGAGTGTCCAATAAAGATTCGCTAAATCTGAGACCCACGTGAAGTTATTTGTCACGTGACATACCCAACACGTGACAACTGGTGTCAGAAGTGGGATCAGTTCGGATTAATCAGATCGAATTCAAAGGATTAGACTTACACATGTGACCGACAAGATAGAACTTAAACACAAAAATAACGCACAAAAAGAAATGGATTCTCAACAAATAATGGAATTCCTGCTAGCCACACAAGCAAAGGCTGACGTCAGACACGAGACTGAACAGACAAAGGCGAACGCCAGACATGAACAAATGATGGTCAGTTGGAAAGCCTTTAGAGAAGAGACAGCAGCCTTGCGAGAAGAGAGGGATGCCGATACGAAAGCCTGGGAAGAAAGAGTTGCCGCCGTATGAAACGAAAGGATAACTGTAGGCCAGACGAGATAGGTGCCAATAAGATAGCCTGGCTAAAAGAGATTGCCACCATGCGAGACAAAATAATAGCCGCTAGGCGAGAAATGAGGAACGCCAGCCACAAGGAGATAGTGGCCGAGGGCAAACCCAAAATGGATATAAAGACGACAGCCTGCCAAGAGATGGAGGCTCATCAGTAAGAGAAGAAGCCGACCTCACTGGACAGGAAACCTGAGGCAGCAGAAGAAGAAGAGGTCCCCAAAGTAGACACCGAAGTAATGCCAGTTGGAGAACCGAGGAAACGGCATAAGGACTGAAAACTGGCCACGGAGCGGTGCTGCCAGATGAAGGAACGGACCCAGTGTCAGGATGGGTACAGAGGAAGACTGGGCATTGCCCACAGAGGGACAAGCCACCGTGAAACAGTGGCATGGCAAAAGGAGAAGAGAAGCGACATAAGGATGTCCTGTCACGCAACAGTGGCACGACACAAGAGAGACATCATGAAGAAGAATCTTACTCAAGGAGCTGGTGGATTCCTGAGGAAGCAACTGGTCATGGCTGACAAGAAGATGACCCGCCGTGCAAATGTGACACAATGCAAGAGACTCAGACTTCAGGGAGATCAGTTGGAGTCCGCACAAGCCCACATAAGGATGTGTCAGAAAGAG